TTTTTTCTTTTTTTCTTTTTTCAATTACAATCTTTTCGGTGGCTAGGGTTTTATGCTAGTTTTAATTCTAGCTAAGCAATTGACTTACCCCACTGACACTGATTTTGCTCAACACAAGAAAATTTGATTATATTTAAGAATATTTGGCTTTGGTTTCTGGAAGGGCTGTTTTTGCAGTGCATAGTGCATCTGGAGGTTTAAAGGTTAAGGTTAAATCTAACCCTATTTAGATTAATTCATATATAGAGATTTTTTTTTATACTGAAAGTAAAATCTGTTTTTGGTGATCAGTGCCTAACAACTATGAATGGTTTACAGAAGGTTGTTTTAAACCCTATATCTAATGAACTATCTTTATAAAAATGATACTTATATATAATATTTTAAGTTAGCTATTAAACAAATATAAAACTCCTTTTCCAAGTATGACATTAAGTCCTGATCATTGGCTAGAAAGACGAGAAAACAGGTGAGCGAAGGGGAGTCCCTGCAGGCAGCCATGGAAAAGGAGGAGCCTAACTTATGTTAAAGTTTAACATCGCCTACATGTGATAAGCATTATTCTGTCCACCTGTAGTATTTACTGTATATACATGTAAAGCTGTTTCACCTCTATGTCAGAGATGGCAGATTCCAGAGCACAGCTCCAGTTGACCAAACCTTCTGAGCGATAAATCAGACCACAATCACACAGCCTGACGAAGGCCTCAGTCACAGCCCTGCTGAAACCCTGAAATATAACAAAAACAACAAAAATCATATTATAAATACTTCCAAAGTGCTACTTTTTACATTTGTTTAACATTACTATAAAAGCCTACTTATTACCTCTAATAGCCAGTGGTATACTTCAATATAATGAAGCATACAAGAAGAGAGCTTACACTTATGTTCTCTCTAAGCTGTGGGGCCCACTGGTTCCTTTAACTAGCTGAAGAAAAGGCCACTTTTTACGAGCCAATTCTGCGGTCTCAAGTCAAAAACAACAAAAATATAACAAAAACAACAAAAATATAACAAAAACAACAAAAATCATATAATAAATACTTCCAAAGTGCTACTTCCAAATACTTCCAAAGTGCTACTTTTTACATTTGTTTAACATTACTATAAAAGCCTACTTATTACCCAGTGGTATACTTCAATATAATGAAGCATACAAGAAGAGAGCTTACACTTATGTTCTCTCTAAGCTGTGGGCCCCACTGGTTCCTTTAACTAGCTGAAGAAAAGGCCACTTTTAACGAGCCAATTCTGCGGTCTCAAGGCTACTTATACAGAAGGTGACACCAAGGTGGGGCCCACGTATTAAGAGGGTGTAGACTAAACCTTAAGTGCTGCATGAGCGAGAGATGAACCCACAAGATCTCGAGCTACGATACGTTACTGACATTCAGGCCTATTCATTTTGAGAGAGCAACAGTCAATGGGGAAACTACTACCTTCCACTGATCAATGGTGTAATCTCATCACTATAATATAACATATGTGACTGGAGTCTTACTGGATCCATAGTGAAACACGCTCTGCTCCAGTCCAGAGAAGCTCCGAGCCTTCTCAGCTGGTGGTAGATCTCTTCTCCTTTCCTGGGACACACAAGGACAAAATACTTAAATTTAACTTAAATGCACATGTACAGTTTAGTTTCTTTAGTCAAGCTACTTAAGATATTTTGCACACCATTGTACTTGCACATTGCATATAATGTATAAATTTAGGGACCGAGCACAGTGACAACTGTGAGGTCCCTATTGTTCCTGTAGGAATTATT